GAAGTTGTTACCTGATCAGATATTGGAGTAAAATAGTTCAGTTAGCTTGGCTTTGATCTATTCCTACCTTTGGCCAATGAAAGCTTTTAAAAAATTTCAACATTTTAACATGAAAATTTTCAAATATACAGAAAAATTAAAATAGTTATGCAATGTACAGCCATATGTGTATTATATTTATGTATAAGAGTCCTGTTGCTCTTAAACAAATTACCATGAATTTAGTGGCTTAAAAGTAACACAAATGTATTCTCTTACAATTCTGATGGTCAGAGGTCTAAAATGAGGCTTATAAAAAATCGAGGTACTAGCAAGATGTGTTACTTCTGGAAATTCTAGGGGTATCTATTCCTTGCCTTTTCCAGCTTTTAGAAGATGTACATATTACTTGGCTTGTGGGCACATCATCCTTTGCTTCTGTAGTGATAGCACTTTTTCCATTTCTGGCCTTCTGCCAGGACCCTCCCTCTTTAAGGACCCTGAGATTACATTGCCTCCATTCTGATATTCCAGGATAATCTTTGCATTTTAAGATTCTTAATCCCATTGGCAAAATCCCTCTTGTTGTGTAAGGTAACATATTCCCAGGTTTTAGGGAGTAGTGTGTGCACGCATTTGGGGATCATTATTCAGCTTACTGTAAGCTACCTCCTATGTTTTAACATTGGCATTTTGCTTTATTACATAGCTGTCTCTTCATTCCTGTGTTTGGCTGTGTCCCCACCCAAATCTCATCTTGAATTCCTATGTGTTGTGGGAGGAACCTGGTGGGAGGTAATTGAATCATGGGAGCAGGTCTTTCTCCCATGATTAGGAAGCTATATGAGCATTTAAAGCAAAAATCTAACGTCCCATTTATTGTGTGGTTTACGACACACAGCACTCAGCATTCTCCTATGCAAGGCTCCCTCTACCCTTCTCCATTTTCTCACTGCTTTGGTGAGTTTCTAGGACCTTAGGGTTAATTTTTATATTTTTAAAAGAGTTTATAGTTGTTTCCTATGAGAGGGTTAGTCTGGTAGGAACGTCTCCTCTATTCCCAATGGAGCTCTGATTTAAACAGATAAAGATAAGTTTTTAGCACTGGGTGAAGAGAGCATAGGCCTGAGTGCTAATTTGATGCAGCACTGGGAATGTAATTCAAAATGTGAGATTGAGAAATGCCAAACATAAATGCTTATTACTTCAGAATTTTGTTTCAGGCCAACATATTTCTCTACCTCTACCTTCTACTTTTTCCTCTATGTCTATCTTCTTTACTTCCTCATTCTCTTCCCCCAGTATTATGTCGCCTATCTCATTTTAAGGCCCAGACCTTAGCAAAGCTAGTGTCTGGGTTATTCTTTAAGAACGTTAAGGACTAAATAAGCATTTCTAGGCTACCTAGGGAGTGTAACCACCACCTGTGAATTTCAGTTCTGAACATTTAGAAGCCAGCCTCTGAATAAAGCCAGCTCATACTTCAGCATGCCACTTGTTCTAAGTTTCAGTCCGGTGCCAGGGGTTTGTTCTGTGCTCTATCCCCTTCTTTTTCCAATAGCTCCTGAGAGGTTATCTCTGTTAGGCCCCTAGGTTATAACTGCTGCACTTGGCTGCTAACTTGTAAAATATATTACTTCTCAGTTCTCTTTCTAAAAGGAACACACTTCTGTTCTAAAGTCCTATGCCTCTGTTTATTTCTCTGCCTGTAGTAGAACCCACTAGACCATTTCAGCCCAGTTAGGTTTTTCTTGTGTTACTAACAGCAGATTACAGAACACCAGTTGGGTTAGGGGTGGTCCATGCTGCTGTTTTAGCCAACCAAGTCACCCCAGCCTTTCAGCAGACAGTCGACCCATCTGCCACAATAGAAAATGGGTGATAGAAAGGCCACTTAGGTAGGGTGGAGAGAGATGGTCTTAAATTCTATTAGACTCAGACATTCTTTTAGGAAGAAATGACTCAAATTTTGCAGCTGGAAAATTGAGAGAGGGAGGGAGCTTAAAATTTCCTTATCATTATTACGTTAGAGGGCAGACTTTGAAAGCTTGCTACTCCTATTCAGAACACTTATTTTCTTAAATCTTCTCTAATTTACTCATACACTCTTTGGGATATGCATTGAAAACAGATTCAGTATACTGGGAAAAAAATCAACTCTAAAAAACGCCTAACTCACAGAACAGCTACATTAAGAGTTCAATGTTCACAGCACTAAAGGGTTATTTGTTTTTATAAAATGTTTCTCTGAAGTGTTCCCTAAAAATACCAAATTCCCTTGGTGCCTTTAAAGTGAGAATCACATTACAAAAATCCTATTTAACAGAACATTCTGGGAACATACAAGGTGTGATTGTAAAATATTATGGCTGATTTGAAGAAAAATTCCAGGACTTATACATTCAAAGGAGCGGTGTTCCCTTCAAAGTAATCACCGTGTGGGCCTTTACACTTACCTCATCGAACATGAGGATGACAGTGTCTCCCTCACTGTGTTGCCCTAGAGGCTGACGTGAGATAACTAAGAAAATGCATGGGTGCAGTAAATGTTGAAGAAAAGAACAGGTTTTGTTTTCAATTCCAAGGAAACTATAATTACTCATTCATCTCTAGAATTCCAATGTGAAAATTATTCTGTGTGCCCCAGTGACGGTTTATCTCTGGTCTGGGATGAATTTGGAGTCAACCATAGAGAGTAAGGTGGCTGGTTAATGGATTGTGTGTGTGTGTTTGTGTGTGTGTGTGTGTGTGTGTGTGTGTGTGTGTGTTGTGGGTGTGTACATGCTGCAATATTTTTTTTTTTTTTTTTTGAGAGACTGAGTCTTGCTCTGTCTCTACCGGCCAGGCTGGAGAGCAGTGGTTCGATCTTGGCTTACTGCAACCTCTGCCTCCCAGGTTCAAGGATTCAAGCAATACTCCTGCCTCAGCCTCCCTAGTAGCTGGGACTATAGGTGCATGCCACCCTGCCCGGCTACCGGCTAATTTGTATTTCAGTAGAGTTGGGGTTTCACCGTGTTGCCCAGGCTAGTCTCGAACTCCTGAGCTCAGGCAATCTGCCTGCTTCTGTTTCTTATTTTTATGAGCTCTTAAATTACTAATCTCATAGGGTGTGTGTGTGTGTGTGTGTATGTGTGTGTGTGTCTTGTAGACAAAGTAACAAATGTAAGAAGCCATGTTTGGTCATTTCTGCGTGCCAGCATAATTTCCTAAAGCTCTGACTCTGTAGCAACCTGCAGCTTTCTGGAAAGATGCTTTGAAGACAAAATAGGGTAAGGCACGTGCGCCTGAGTCAATACTTAGCTTTGCTTTTTCCTACACAGAAAATAATGTCCAATGGGGTTGGTGACTATGCTTCTGTAATCTATGACCAGATGTACTCTCACACATAATCTTTGATGTGATCTTTGCTTCGATGTAACATCTGAACAAGTTGGAGAAGAATTTGCACATTCGGAACCTCTACCATCTGTATATAAGCAATGGGCTAAAACACTGTCTTGCTGCAGTCTGGCAGGACTGCTCCATGGCTGGAGGACTCAGTATAGTCTTACTGTCCACTGCAAGATTTTTGAATGAAACTAACTTTAATTCTTTAAAAGCTTGACATCTTGTTCCTTTAGCCAACAGTGTGTATGTATACATAAATATGTATATATAACACGTAACATAGTCGTATGAGTTATTTGCATATTTAATTTGGCAGGGTGGTGGGGTAAAGGTGAAGCAAGTGCCGTGTGTCCTCAGCATGGGATATAAACCCAAATGGCCACAGTAGTGGATCTCAATCTTTGCCATATATTCAATTGCTTAGTAAACTTAATCCTGACCTCCTGCCGCACGCTACACCAATTGATTCAGAACCCGTAGGAAGAGACGTCAGTCATTTTTAAATCTCGCCAGGTAATACCAATGGGCAGCCAAGTCCCAGAGCAGGAACCCAGATGGTCCTCAGTGGCGGATGCCTCTTAGAAGCACCTGCAGAGCTCTCAGAACTTACCAGTGCCTGGGCCCTGCCCCTCCCACTTATCTGGGGTGGAGCCTGGGATATGATTTGTGGTATTTTTTGAAAGTTCTCCTGCTGATTCCACTGTGTAGCTCTGAACCCCCAAAATTTGAGACAGGTCTCAGTTAATTTAGAAAGTTTATTTTGCCAAGTTTGAGGACCCGCAACCACGACACAGCCTCAGGAGGTCCTGATGACATGTTCCCAAGAAGGTCAGAGCACAGCGTGGTTTTATACATTTTAGGTCAACATGAGACATCAATCAACATATATAAAATGAACATTTGTTTGGTATGGAAAGGCAGGGCAACTCAAAGCAAAAGCGGGAGAACTCGAAGCAACTAGAAGCAGGAAGGGGGCATCTAGGCTGCAGCTAGATGAGAGACAAACGGTTGCATTCTTTTGAGCTTCTGATTAGCTTTTCCAAGGAGCCAATCAGGTATGCATTTATCTCAGCAGAGGGATGATTTTGAATAGAATGGGGGACAGGTTTGCCCCACGCAGTTTCCAGCTTGAATTTTCCCTTTAGCTTAGTGATTTTGAGGGCCCAAGATATTTTGCTTTCACATAGCCAGGTCTGGGAACTGGTGGCTGCAGGTGCCCAGCTGCTGAGGGAGAGGGATGAAGAGGGCATAGGCAGTGGCCACACAAAATGGGACAGCATCTTCTCTAAGGGGGCAGCTGCTGTGCAGATTTCTGTGGGGATGTGAGCCCACTGTCACCAGCTCTTCTATTTTTCAAGTGACACTGGAAGTCTGGGTATTTATGTAGAAACATTTAATTTTTAAATTGTGATAAAATAGATGTAACATACAATTTACCATTGAAACCGTCTTTAAGTGTACCTTCAGTACATTCACATTGCTGTGTAATCATCACTACTGTCCATCTCCAGAATGTTTTTCATCTTCCCAAACGAAAACTCCAAACTGTTAAACAATAACTCCCCATTCCTGGTAGCCAATGTTCTATTTTCTGTCTTCATGAATTTGATGACTCTAGGTCCATCGTGTAAGTGGAATCATACAGTATTTGCCCATTTGTGACTGGCTTGTTTCACTTAGCATCATGCTTGCAAGGTTCATTCATGCTTAGCATGTGTCAGAATTTCCTTCCTTTTTAAAACTGAATAATATTTCACTTATGAATATATGCGATATGCTTTGTTTATTCATCTATCTGCTGATGAACACATGGGTTGCGTCCACCTTTTGGCTATTGTGAATGACGCTGCTATGGAAATGGCTGTACAAATATCTGTTTTACTGACCTGCTTTCAGTTCTTTTGGATACATACGTAGAAGTAGAATTGTGGGAGCACATGGTGATTCTGTGCTTAGGAACCACCAGACTGAGCTTTCTAATTGTTAAATGTTTGCAAGTAATTCCAATTTAAGCAGCAACAACAGCAAACAGCCATTCTGCTAGACTGGGCTTGTGATCTCAAGACTGGCATTTTCCAGAATAGTCTGTAAGTCCACAGGTTCCTTCTCTCTGGGTCTCAGTTTCCTCATCTGTAAAATGAGGAGACTGGACTATATCTTTCCTGCTTCTGTTTTGTTCAAAGAGTCCATGGTGTTGCAGTCAGTATTCTAAATTGATTGCAGTTCTTATTCCTGTTTGTGGGGGCTGAGTCCCAAGACCAGCATTCAGTATCCTGGGGTTCAAATCTCCAAAGCCCACATGATCCCAGCTGTCTGGATAAGACAGAGGGAATCAGACCAGACACATTGTTTGGGCCCAGTCTGACACAAGTAAAGTCTAAATCAGCCAAGATATAACCTGCTCGTGCTAGCCACAGAGCGGTCAGCATGCCCTTTTAAGGAGAGAATAATCTATTTTCCAGTCCCAACAAACTTCAACCACATTTGAACAGAAAAGATCACATTTCCAAGCTGTAAGTAAGACTGCTGAGGTTGTAATATGATTCTTTGTATGTTTGTGACAATCTCTTAGCGGGAGATCTTTGTTGGCTTTTTAGAGGAAGATGTAGGTCCAGACTTTTGAAAGTTTGTTTGCTTATTTTTATGAGCCCCTTAAATTACCAACCTCTCAGGACTAAAGCACATAGCAGACAGCTGCTCCAAGAATCCTATGGGTCTTCCCGATTCTCAGGCAGATTTTACCTCTCCATGTTTTTGTGCCTACAGGACTTTAGTTTGTGTTTTTATTACTATTTAAACAGGTATAACTTCTTCAGACACTTTTCTCTCCTTGCTTATTTTGAATTTGACTCTGATTTTTTTTCATAACGTACTCACCAAAAGGAAAGCAATGTTTTTCATACCCTTGAAAAAAATTTATCTACTATTTATTGAGTCATGTCGGTGAGATGGAGCATGAACCCCTCTTAGGGGCCTGCTGGCTCCTCCCCAGGGTTGAAAATAAAGAAGTACCTGGAGTTTCTTTAAGGGAAATTCCAGGCATCTAGTTAGCCGGGAGAAGTCAGTGAGTGACTTGATAAGAAAGAAAATAACAATAGCTTAAAACAATAGCCAAAGAAGTTAGAGTCAGGAGATGTTTGGTTCCCTTTAGAAACTAAAGATAACTTCTTAGTCCCTGGGCTGCTTTTCAGAATTCCCGACCCCCACCTAGTGAATCCACTGGCACACAGACCTCAGATAAGGGGGAACTGAGGACTGAGTTTTGAGAGTCATTCTTTGTCCTAAATTTCTTCCAGAGGGGCCTGGAAGAAGTCACATCTGTGGGCCAGATCTAACATTCTTTTCTGCTGACCCCAAGTGTCTAGAGAAAACTTCCCTTCCTTAACCAGTGAGAAAATCTTCTAGTCTACCTGTGATCTATAAGCCTGTGCTTCAAGATATCACATCTTTTTAGGAACAAACCAATGCATCACCTCATCTACTGATTTGTAATTTTGCCTGTAACTTCCACTTTCCTGAAATTTACCCCTGCCTTAAAAAACCCTTGCTTACAAGCCAAGCTTGTCTAATCCACAGCCCGTGGGCCACATGTGGCCCAGGATGGCTTTGAATGTGGACCAACACAAATTTGCAAGCTTTCCTAAAACATTATGAGATTTGTTTTGTTATTTATTTATTTTATCACCTATCGTTAGGGTTAGTGCATTTTATGTGGGGCCCAGGACAATTCTTCCAATGTGGCCCAGGGAAGCCAAAAGATTGGGTACCCCTGTTATAAGCCATTGTGGAGGTTTGGTCTTAAGCATGAACTGCCTGATTCTCTTACCCAGTGCCCTGTAAACAAACATCCTCCTTTCTCTTTCCTATTCTGTAAAAATCTCAGCTGTAGATGTTTGGCCTTACTGCCCCGGGTGAGTGGCTACCAGTGTGGTTTGGTAATAAAGGTTTTATGCCATTTGTGATTCATTTCAACAAATGTTTTTGGTTTTCTGTTCATTAGGGAGGAGATGAGGCCAGGGTGAGAAAGCATGGGATACGGGGACAGGCCAGTCTGCCCCATTCACCAGCTCTACCATATTCTTGCTCTGTGACTTTGGACAAATGCCTCCTTTGGTTGAGCATTTGTAAAATAGGGGCTATCTATCATCTAAGGTTGTAACAAAGATTAATAATGTATGCATAGTACCAGGGGAGGGATGTGGCACCTAAGTATTCAATAAGTGGAAGCCATTATTAATAATCTCTGACCCCTTTCAGATAGGGACAAGATGCAGAGAACTTCTGGGCAGAAAAAGGCGGGTCCCTGGTGAAGGCCCCACCCTCAAACTGAAAAGCCTGATAGTGTGGCCCAAAGTAAGAACTTACATGCCTGTTTTCCTGGTTGAATGTTGCCTTCTCCAAAACCACAAATGGCCCACCCTGCCCCCCACCCTGTGCCCATAAAAACCCCAGACTCACACAGTAGAGAGGAGAAGCAGCTGGATGTTAGAGACTGTCAGAGACTGTTGGAGACTGTCCGACGCTATGGTTGGATGTCAGACAGAAGTGGCTTGACTTCAGAGGGGCAGCTTGACGTCATAGCTTTGGAGATTACCTTTCCTACTCTGTCCCCTTGTCACCTCATCTTCCAGCTGAGAGCCAATTGGCAATAAAATCCCCTGCATTCCCCACCTCCAATTCCTTCATGTGACCTCATTCCTCCTAGATGCCAGATAAGAACTCAGGTGCCACAAATGTGGGTGCAAAAGACTGTCATGCTGACCCTCCACTGAGCTGTTAACACTTAAGCTGTTTGCAGATGGCAAAGCTAAAAGGGCACTGTAACACTCCTTCTGGGGCCTCAGGGGTCATGGGCACCTCACAAGATGCTGCTATGGGGCCTACACAGAGATTTGCTCCTGTTGGCACCCAAAAATGCTTGCCTTGCCTCCTGCACCTGCTCATCTGTGCATCCTTTCCTCTCGTGAGGGGTGGAACACAGTGGGGCTGAGCAAGTGGAGTCCACCCCTGCTGGCACCAAAGCAGCTGGCTAGTTCTAGCTCCTGTGCACTGCATTTCCCACCTGTGAAGGGGTCAGGAAGATATCCTACTTCATTTCTAGGCATTGAGAAGAAAACACAAGGGGCTGGGAATTGGGAGACTTAGGTTGATTCTGTTCCTAATTAGCTGTGATCTTGGGCAAGAGACAAACTTGCTGGGGGTCAAACTCTGCATCATTTACTTAACAAGCACATATTAATAGCCTACCAGTAGGCAGGTCTTGCCGTAGAAGTTGAGAGTAGGAAGATGAATGGGATTTGGCCAGCTCTAAGGAGCTCACCAGTTAGTTGAAGAAGACAGGGACTCCAAGGTTGGAGGTAGGCATTAGAAGGGCTAGATGAAACTTTAGTTAGAGCATCAGAGACTCAGCAGTACAAAGATGCATTAACATTTGCCGTGAGTTACAATAATTTTAGGTAGAGGCAGTTATGGGGCTCCCGTGAGCTTTAGAGGTCTTGGTTACCATGTTCTAATTGGAATTACCTTCTGTGTACAGGGAATATTTACTAACCCCTGTAGTGAGGCAGAGACCCCCTCCCTGGGCATCAAGGCAGAAAATTAGGTTTTGTACAAACTGTTATATATAAATTCTTGTTGACTGGCTCTGATAAGAAAGTCAGAGTAAGCCCCCAGTGCTTTGTTATTTGCTTTGCGGCAACTTTGCCACCAAGAGTGACCGGCAGGGTGTCTGTGTTTTACTTCAACTCCTAGTTGAAAGAAAATCATTCTTTGTTAATCGTTGTATTGTAATTGTGAAACACCATGTTTGAGGAAGAGTTTCAAGGCAGACATAGCCTTAAGGTCTAGTTCTCTTGTTTTTTAATTTGGAATGAAGGAAATTCTCTCATCTGAATTCTCCTATAGCCTGCAGGCATTGGCATTCTAAGCAGCCTGCACACAAAAAAACAGATCGTATTTTAAAAGAGTCTTCTTTCTCTCACTCCATTTACCTCTGTGCCATTCAGGAGAATGTGAAAAAATGGGAATCTTCATTTTTTAAAAAGTGCCTTAAAAAATAACATCAAAACATCAGTCTTTGCTATTTTCCAGTGCCTGGGGAATTGGCACATGTCTTCAATGCTAAAAGAATGTACTTTTCATGTTGCTTTGCATTGCAAATGAGCTTCACTCTTGGAAGACCTGACAGAGCAGGGGTGACACCTTCACCATTTGCTTTCCTGATGCCCAGAACGACATGGGGATTCATGAAGTCTGGAGTGGCTGGTGGAGAGGATACTGGCTGGCAAAAAGTGGTAGCTCTGGCTCCTTGGTCAATTCTGAGACTCAAGACCTCTGTGCTCATCACACGTGCAGGAAGCAAGGATTTAGGATCAGCATGGGGGCTGGCACCACCCCTCCTAAACGTAGGCATGGAAACTACAAGGCAGGCAAGTTTCTGAGAAAGAGAGAGGGAGAGCACGAGACAAAGATAGAGAGAAAGAGAGACTATGAAACTTTGAAAATCATCTGTAGTGATTCAAATACCAGAAAAACACGTTGGTTTCTTGAATCATTTTCAGATTGTTTAGTTCCCAAATGCCCTTTGTCTGTTCCTTCTCACCCATGGTCTTGAGCTTTCCCCTTCCAAGCCCTAGAACACTTGTGAAACTGCCTTTGCAAAAATTGTAACAGTGAGAAAATTATGACGGTAAAAGAGATCTAATAAACCAACCTACATCTCACCTTTAACCTCCACACTGCTCTTAATCATTCCTGAGCTTAGGCCATGCTAACTTTGGGAGCTATTTAGCTTGTACTTTGAATGATAATAGTCCTTCTCCAAAACTAAACCACCTTTGTAAAGCTAATGAAAGACCAGCAGGTTAGGAGAAAGAGGAGTCTTGCCAGCCATTATTCCAGAGGTCACAAGATTTGCAACATCCCCAATTACTCCTGAAGATAATATCACTGTTGTAGAACCTACGATTGGCCTTTTGAAATGTCTTTTCGGGTTTTTGCATTTCTGGCGACCAATGGCTCCAACCGGGAACTGGAACCGTCAACCAGTCATTTGGCCCCACCCAGAAGTCAATTCCCTAGTCTGCCAAACTATCCTTGAGAAATCCTAGCCTCTGAATTTTCAGGGAGATTGATTTGAATAATAACTCTGACTCCCAAGTGGCATGGCTGGCCTTGGGTCAATTAAACTTTTTCTTTATTGCAATGCCACAGTCTCAGGGAAATGGTTTTGTCTGTGAGATGGGCAGGAAGAACCCATAGGTGGTTACACTTGTGCTTCCTTTGGCCTGATCTCCAGCTTGGGAAGAGCAGCTGGGCCCCAGGGTCCCTGTGGGGAACTGAGCTGGGCCCTCCGGTTGGGTTAGTGAATGCATTAGACAGCCCCCAGTCCTCTGCTGCCTTTATGCACATGTCCACACATCTTGCTTTCCCGTTACTTCCTTCAACATTTTTTCGCTTAGTGTCCTAGCAACTGTCATGTCCACATGTTAACCTGAGAAAAATGTTGAAAAGGCACCACTCTACAGCCTGTGCTCCAGCTCCCCTGTTTCCTCCCAGCCCTGCCTCTGCTTCCTCTGCCTTATGGTACAGTCATTAGTGGCTCCTCAGATTCCCCACTGGGCTGGCTCAGCTGCCTCTCTGCATGCCCCATTCCCATCTTTCTGTGTGCTGTGGTCCTCCCTGTCTCCTCCGCTAGACCATAAGCTTCTTAAGCAAAGGGACTGTCCCTTTCCACTGTGTAGTCCTGGCACCCCCAACACAATTAGGATGCACCTAGTAGGCATTCAGCAAATGCTTGCTGCATTCGGTTGCACATATGGTTCACATTTTCCAGGAATGTCTGTTTGTTCTGATTATCTGCCAGCCAAGTATACTCTTGGGTAGAAAAAGGGAAATGGGCTAAAAGATGTGGTTCAAGGAGTAGTCAACAGCCTGCTCATAATTACTAGTGGGAACGGAATAAGCATAAACTTACTTGCATAACTAATCAATATCTTAATATATCTCCATTAGTGAGGGTGTATTTTATGTTATTGATATTAAAATATACCTATTGTGTCAAAAAGGTTTCAGGGTAATTGTTATTGATGGTTAAAATCTTGTCAGCTGCTAAACGTAGATTTTTTTTTTAATGGATGATGATTGGCTGAGATTTATTTTTCCTGTATTGCTATAAGCCAGATTCTCCATTAAGCTATAAAATATTATGATACACTTGAAGTAATGTAATGTGATCCAAACACACAGTTATAACTCATTTCATTATTAGTCACATGTGCCAAGACATTAGCATAGCAGTTTACCAGTACTGGGATAAGTGTGGTACTCAGGAATATTTTTTAGCAATCCAATCGCATTAGTGCCAGTTATAGTTTAACTATCTGATGGTTATAATTACATGCTTAATGATAATTGGGCAATAGAATGCTGACATGGATTTTGGAGGCAGAATCTCTGTTTTTATCTTTAAATACAAAAATCCAATCCAGAGAACAGTGTGATATCTACCAGCATTTGGTAGATTGCAGTTTGTTAGAAGAGGCTCCAGTGCCCTTACTGTCTTCTGTGGTTGGTACCTTAGTTGTAGCTATTTAGAGATGGATTTCTGGAACAGTCTAAATTTTCTGAGCTGTTCTCATTTTTCCCTGTACTATTGCAGAGATATTGAGGAAGGAGAACCCCTCCTTCCAAGCTGCTAAGGCCATTACCCCTTTAGCCTTCTACACTGCATCTCAAAAGGAGAATTTAAAAGTCAGCCAGAGGAGGGACCGGTTGGTAACGCCGGTCAGGTCTGAAGAATCAAACCCCCTACTGCTAACCACAACCCTATCTAAAGATCATGGACATGGTACGGAGGAATTTTCCCTGGAAGGCATTGTTCTTGCTCCACTGCTCAGACCCCGACCTAGTCACATTCCCCACACTCTTGACCCTCTCACATGTGCACCTCCCAGACTGCAAGCCTTTAAAAGGGCCAAGGTTTTCTTTGTCCAGGAGCTTGGTTGTTGAGGCATCCATGCTGCCACAGCTCCTGGCTGAATAAAATTACCACTTCCTTTTCTGTTCTGTGTTCGAGAGGTTTGATTGTGGCCCTCCTGCTTCATTCTTTGGTTCCCTGATCAGGAAGCGAGTTTCGGTTGGTGGACAGCCGGGACACCTCCCAGGCGGTTTTGTCTTGCCCTGCAGAGCATCCCTGCAGGGGACTCCAGCCCACTTGGGCGATGTGAGTCCTGAGAGCCCTCCTGGGTAGGCATTGGCCCTGATGGAATGCCTTGCCAGAGCAAAGCAGGGTAGGCCCCCACAGCGGATCCACCCAGTGGCTGAACGCTGAGCAGGAATGGGTGCTCGGAGTGTCCGGATGACAGAAACACAGTAGGACCAGTCCTGAGACACTTGCCCACCTTCTTTAGGTGGCAGCGTGGCCTGATCACCCACGTGTGCTGAATTTGGCACTCCTGAACTCGGCTTTCTCTCTTTCGCTGTAACTAACCTTGAAAGTCTTGCTTTTGGTTTCAATTTGGGTGGCGGGAGATGTATGACTGTGTAAGTGATTGGAGGAGTCCAGCTGAACTCACCAGCCGTGAGATGTGGGAGCGGCAAGTCTGTTAGAGGGGACCATAAGCTCCGAGCATATTGTGGAGCTGGCTGGGATTAGGGGTGATCCGCATGTGGCTAGAAGGAGGTGCCCTCACAATCTAGGTATTCTGGGGAAGTAACAAACTCTTCAATGCCAAGTGTCGGAAACACTCCTGAGAGGGAGACGGTCCTACTGGCCTGAAGTGAAATTGAAAGCAAGTGTCATGCGGTGCAGGGTGGGAGAAACTGAGGGCGGAATAAGACTCTCTTTACTGCCTGTGAGTGCTATTTCTGTGCAAAAAACATGGGCCACACTCAAAACAAGCCTACTTCTCTGGGGACCATGCTGAAAAATTTCAAGAAGGGCTTTAGTGGAGATTATGGAGTGACTATGACACCAGGAAAGCTGAGGACCTTATGTGAGGTAGACTGGCCAGCATTTGGGGTGGATTGGCCCTCAGAGGGAAGCTTAGACAGGTCTCTTGTCTCTAAAGTATAGCATAAGGTTACATGCAAGCCAATACATCCTGATCAATATCCATATATAGATTAATGGCTGTTGCTAGTTCTAAACCCCCCACAGTGGCTAAGAGGACAGGCAGCAACTGTACTGATGGCAAAGGGGCAGGCAGCCAGGGAAAAACCCCGCTCCACCCACCGAGGGACACAGACTCCTAAGGTCCTGGCAGATCCAACGGCAGAAGAGCCTTTGCTGATGATACCTCCCCCTTATCAGGAGGAAGGAGTACTTGCCCCTGAGCCTGAAACCGCAGCACCCCTGCTAGAATTGCATGCCCCTAAACCGCCCAGGGTAGACAAGAAAAAATGTGGAGGCACTCCTCCCATAGCTGCCCACCTCCCGAGAGGAAATCCTCCTCTAGCAGCTCATCTGCGACCCAAGGCAGGGGTGCAGATGCCTTTAAGAGAGCAAAGGTATACCAGAGTGGATGAGGATGGCCACATGGTGGAAAGACGTGTTTTCACATACCACATACCTGCCGTTCACCTCAGCTGATCTTATCAACTGGAAAGTAACAAATAATACCCCGTCTTATACCAAGAAGCCACGAGCTGTCATTGACCTACTGCAAACTATTGTCCAGACTCATACCCAACTTGGGCTGACTGCCACCAACTGTTTATGTATCTTTTTAACACTGATGAAATGTGGAGAGTACTCCAAACCACTTCCAAATGGTTGGAGGAGCATGTTCCAGCAGATTGTCAGAATCCCCAAGAGTATGTCAAACCAAGCCACCGGGGATTGACCCCCAGTGGGATCTAAACACCCCAGAGGGCATGCAAAGGCTAATCAAGTACAGAGAGGCCTTACTGGAAGAATTGAAAAAGGGAGCCCAGAAAGCTACAAACATCAATAAAGTCTCTGAGGTTATTCAAGGGAAAGAGGAAAGCCCAGCACAGTTCTAGGAGAGGCTATGCGAAGCCTATCGCATGTATACTCCTTTCGATTCTGAGAGCCCTGAAAATCAACGCATGGTAAATATGACATTAGTCAGTCAGTGTGCAGAACACGTTGGGAGAAAGCTACAGGAGCAGGCAGGATTTGCAGGCATGAAAACCTCAGTTATTGGAAATAGCTAACCAGGTGTTTGTGAACAGAGACACAGGAAGCCATAGAGAAAGGTGTAGAGAAAATGAGCATCAAGCTCCACAAGTGCTGACTTGATAGCTGCTGCTATTAGAGGAGCACCCCCAAAAGGGTGGGGAAAGGGGTGCTCCTGGAAGGCTACCCAGTCTAATCACCTGTGCCTGCAGCGTAACCAGTGTGCTTACTGTAAGGAAGTGGGACAAAGGAAGGACAAGTGCCCCCAGTTGAGAGGAAAACAGGAGATCTTAAGCCCAAGGCTTCAGACAAAAGTAAAGGAGCTCTGTTCAATCTAATGAAAGGGCCACAGGACTGAAGGGACTGGGCTCAATTGCCCCCAAAGAGCCCATGGTCAGGGTGACAGTGGGGCAAGGACATTGACTTCTTGGTCAACACCAGGCAGAGCACTCAGTGGTGATACAACCCATGGCCCCTTTGTCCAGCAAGAAAATAGACATACTTGGGGCAACTGGAGTTGCAGAGAAGCAGGTTGTTAGCCTACCACAGACCTGTTCGGTGAGATTATACATCAGTTCTTGTACATGCAGGACTACCCCCCACACCTCTTGGGGAGAGACTTGTTAGCAAACTAAAAGGTACTATCACCTTCACTGATAAAGGCTCCTGGCAGCTAAAACTGCCTCAGGCAGGGATTATGATGGCTCTCATAGTCCCTCTGGAGGAGGAGTGGAGACTCTTCCTGACTGAACCATGATGATAATTAACCCCTGCTCTAACCAAGTGATAGCCGTGGGTCTGGGCAGAGGACAACCCCCTAGGGCTGGCAGTAAACCAGGCCCCAGTGGTTATTGAAGTAAAGCCAGGGGCATTACCCATCAGACAGAGACAGTACCTGGTCCCAGGTAAAGCTCTTGCAGGTATCCCAGTCCATCTCCAATGCTTAAAGGACTATGGAATTATAGTTCCCTGCCGGTCTCCATGGAGCACACCCTCTTGTCTGTTCCTAAACCAGGGACCAAAGACTACAGGCCAGTGCAGGACTTGCATTTGGTTAATCAGGCTACTGTGACTTTGCACCCAACGGTACCCAACCTGTACATGCTGTTGGGATTATTGCCAAGTGGAGGATATTTGGTACCTGCTTGGGCTTAAAGGATGCTTTCTTTGGCACTAGACTGACCTCAGAGAGTCAGAAACTATTTGCTTTTCAATGTGAAAATCCAGAAACAGGTATAACCACCCAGTACACCTGGAGTCAGTTACCCCAGGGGTTCAAGAACTCTTCTATCATCTTCGGGGTGGGGGGAGGGCACTAGCGCATGACCTCCAGAATTTTCCTGCTAAGGACTTAGGCTGCATGTTGCTCCAATAGGCTGATGAACTTTTATTGGAACACCCCATGGCAGTTGGGTGTGCAAAAGGAACAGATGCCTTACTTCAGCACCTGGAGGACCGTGGGTATAAAGTGTCTAAAAGGAAAGCCCAGATTTGCCAAGAGCAAGTGCGATATCTGGGGTTCACTGGCAGGGAGAGCTCAGCCTAGGGGCAGAGAGGAAACAAGTCATTTGCAACCTGCCAGAACCCGAGACCAGAAGGCAGGTGAGGGAGTTCCTGGGAGCCGTAGGTTTTTGTAGATTGTGGATTCCAAACTTTGCAGTACTGGCAAAACCCCTATATGAAGTTACGAAGCGGGGAGACAAGGAATGCTTTGAATGGGGATCCCAGCAGCAGGCCTTTCAGGAACTGAAAGAGAAACTTATGTCAGCCCTGGCTTTGGGGTTACTTGATTTAACAAAGCCCTTCACATTGTATGTGTCAGAAAGAGAAAACGTAGCAGTTGGAGTTCTAACACAAACAGTGGGACCTTGGCCCAGGCCTGTAGCTTATCTCCCCAAACAGCTGGATAGAATTTCCAAGGGTTGGCCCCCATGTCTAAGGGCCCTGGCAGCAACCACTCTGCTAGCACAAGAGGCTGATAAGTTAAATCTGGGGCAAAACTTAAATATCAAAGCACCCCATACAGTAGTGACTCTAATGAATACCAAAGGACATCATTGATTGACAAATGCCAGGTTAACCAAATACCAGAGCCTGTTATGTGAGAATCCCCACATCACCATCAAGGCCTGTAACACTTTAAACCCCGCCACTTTGCTCCTGGTGTCAGAGGGCCTGGTCAAACACAACTGTGTTGAAGTATTGGACTCAGATTATTCCAGCAGGCCCGATCTTTGGGATCAACCATGGATGGTAGCAGACTGGGAGTTGCATGTGGTTGGAGGCAGTTTTGCTAATCCACGAGGAGAAAGGCGTGCAGGCTATGCAGTAGTAACTCAGGACACTGTCATCAAGGCCATGCCACTGCCTCAGGGTACTTCAGCTCAGAAGGCTGAACTTATTGCTCTAACCCAAGCCCTAGAACTGAGTGAAAGTAAGGCTGCGAACATTGATACTGATTCCTGCTATGCCTTTCTAACTCTTCAAGTACATGGGGCACTGTACAAAGAAAGAGGACTGTTAATTTCAGGGGGACAAGAAATAAAGTACCGATATGAAATCTTGCAGTTGTTAGAAGCAGTTTGGAAGCCCCGAAGGGTGGCAGTCGTGTACTGCCGAGGACATCAGCGGGCCCATACCTCTGTGGCCCTGGGAAATTCCCAAGCTGATTCAGCAGCTCTTAAGGGGGCATCTATTCCCTACCGAGCAGCAGTTACAGCCCCTCTAATTCTACAGATACCTGACTTGGTGCCCACTTATTCTAAGGAAGAAAAGGATTTTCTCCAAGCAGGGGGTGGGGGGTGGGCAAATAATTAAAGAGGGATGGGTCCGGCTATCGGGTAGAAGAGTAGCGGTGTTGCAGCTATTAGCGGCTGCAGTCGTACAGACCGTACACGAAACCACTCATATAGGACAAGTCAATTGAGAATTTGTTAGGCTGGTATTTTTACATCTCACATTTGTTGGCCCTGACCAAAACTGTGGTGTAGCGATGCATTACCTGTCGGCAGCACAACGAGAGGCAAGGTTCATCTATTCCCCGAGGCATTCAAGCTTATGGAGCAGCTCCATTTGAAGATCTCCAGGTAGATTTCACTGAAATGCCCAAGTGTGGGGGACATAAGCATTTGTTGGTCCTGGTCTGCACATATTCTGGGTGGGTAGAGGCCTTCCTGACTAGGACTGAAAAGTCCCATGAAGTCAAGATCTCATCCCCAGGTTTGGACTGCCATTGAGCATTGGTTCAGACAACAGACCAGCATTTGTGGCTGATTTGGCCCAGAATACAGAAAGGGCATTGGGTATCACTTGGAAGCTGCATGCTGCCTACCTACCATAGAGTTCCAGAAAGGTGGAATGGATGAACTGGACCATTAAGAATAGCTTAAAGAAAATGTGTCAGGAAACAGGATTAAAGTGGGTGTAGGCACTTCCCTTGGTATTATTCAAAATTAGATGTACTCCCTCTAAGAAAACAGGATATTCCCCCTATGAAGTCTTATATCAGAGGCCCCCTCCCATACTGTGGGAGCTACCGGGAACTCCTCAGGTGTGGGGAGAAATTGAGCTAGGATGACAGTTACAAGCTCTAGGAAAAATCACTCAGGATATTTCAACCTGGGTAAATGAAAAATGCCCTGCAAGCTTATTCTCCCCAGTTCACCCTTTCTCACCAGGTGATCACTTGTGGATAAAGGACTAGAATGTTTTCCCTCTGAAGCCATGGTGGAAAGAACCCTGGAACATGATCCTGACCACCCCCACAGCCATAAAGGTAGAGGGACTCCCAGCCTGGATCCATCACAGCAGTGCAAAGCCTGCAGCCGCTGAAACTTGGGAAGCTAGACCAGACCCAGACAATGACTGCAGAATCACCTTGAGAAGGACAACAAGCCCTGCTCCAGCCACATCCTGGAAGCTGGCTGGTCCGTGCATGGCCGGAGCATGAGGAAACTCATCATGGAACTTGTTCTTCTTAAAATTTAGACTTCTACAGTAGGGAAATTAACTGATCTGGGAGAATGCCGTCAGTGTATGCACCAGGTTACTGAGGTGGGACAGAAAGTTGCTGCCATTCTTTTGTTCTACAGTTATTATGAATGTGCAGGGACGCAGAAGGGAATCTGTTTATATAGTGGTACTCAGTATAAGGTGTGTAACCCAGGGGATGGACAACCCAATATCTGCTATGATCCATCAGAACCCTCTATGCATACAACTTTTGAAATTAAACTCATAACCAGGTGATGGAACAGCCCTACTAATTTAATAGCTAAAACAGAGGAAAAGGGAAGCCCAAAATGGTCACCTTAAGGTTTGATGCCTGTGCAGCCATTGATGCCTATCATTCCAGTGTGGGGGAGGGTGGCTGTGGTTCCCTCAGATGGGAACAAAGTTACACAAAAGAGCAGAAGTATATCTGCCAGAGAAGCGACTAGTGCAGTGAATGCATTTATTGGCCATGCCTCATCTGGGCCACACGGAAGATGATAAAAATGATCCTGTTCACCTTATAAAAAGGAGGGACACCATTCCATGGGGTAATGTTCCCTGCATCTCGGGACATTGTAACCCAGTAGAATTAATAATCGCAAACGACCAAGACCCCAAACGGGAAAAAGGGAAGTGTAATGTTAGGAATTGATGGAAAAGGACTTGATCCTGGAGTCAGTATCCGGATTCAGGGAAAAATCCAAAAATGCTCATCCCAGCCAGTGTACAAGACCTTCTATGATATATTAAATGAGCCAGTGCTGGAGCTTCCAAAAAAGACAAATAACTTGTTCCTCCATCTTGCTGAAAATGTAGCCCATTCCCTTAATGTCACTTCTTGCTATATACGAGGAGGAACTACTATGGGTGATCAGTGGCCATGGGAATCTCTTGAGTTAGTACCCTCTGACCCTGACCCTGACCCTGTCTCAGTTCAAAGAATTCAGACCAACAGTTCTTGGGTTTTAAAGTTTTCAATTATTGGACAATACTGTTTGGTCAGAGAAGGAAAAGGCTTCACTGTTCCAGTAGGAAAGCTTAGCTGCTTAGGCCAACAATTGTGTAATGGAACAGTGGACACTGTAACCTGGTGGAGTTCAACTCACACAGAAAAGAACCCCCTTCTGAAATTCCCAAAATTACAGGATGCTTGGAACCATCCTGGGTATTGGAGAGACTGGACAGCCCCGCCTGGGTTGTACTGGATATGTGGACATAGAGCATATGTACAACCGCCTGAAAGATGGACAGGTAGCTGTGTCATAGGCACCACTAAGCCTTCTTTTTTCCTATTATCTGTTAAGACAGGTGAGCTATTAGGATATCCAGTCTACTCCACCCTAGAGAAAAGAATTCTAAAGATAGGTGAATGGAAAGATGATGGCTGGCCACCTGAGAGAATTATTGAATATTATGGGTCAGCCACATGGGCAGAGGATGGCTCATGGGGATACCGGACTCCTATTTACAGGCTCAATCAGATCATCCGGTTGCAGGCTGTCTTGGAAATTCTCACTAAGGAAACAGGCAAAGCTCTGCCCATTTTGGCCTGACAAGAAATTTGAATGAGAAATGCGATTTATCAGAACTGGTTGGCCTTAGATTATTTGCTAGCAGCTGAAGGAAGAATCTGTGGAAAATTCAATCTAACCAACTGCTGCCTACACATAGACGACCAGGGTCAAGCAGTTGAGGACACTGTAAGAGACATGACCAAACTGGCACACGTGCCTGTGTAGGTATGGCACAGATTTAACCCTGAGTCCTTGTTTGGAGGTTGGTTCTCATCCTTGGGAGGATTCATGACTCGCATCATAAGTGTTATAATAATAAAAGGTGTTTGCTTGCTACTCCCTTGTTTGTTCCCCCCCCACCCCGTTCCTTCAGATGATTAGAAGATTCATCACTGCTGTAGTTAACCAGAGAACCACATCAGAAGTATATTATATGAATCATTATCAATCAGTTTCTTTAGAGGATCAGGAAAATGAGAATGCGAATGAGAGTGAGAACGTTCACTAATGTTATAGGTGAAGTTCTTAAAGTGGGGGATGAGGAAGGAGACCCCCCTCCTCTTGAGCTTCTAGGGTCATTTCTCCTTTAGTCTTCTACATTGCACCTCAAAAGGAGAAGTTAAAAGTCAGCCAGAGGAGGGACAGGTTGGTGCCAGCCAGGTCTAAAGGATTAAACTCCCTACCGCTAACCACAACCCTATCTATAGATCACGGACTCGACATGGAGGAATTTTCCCCAGAAGGCATTGTTCTTGCTCCACTGCTCAGACCCCCACTTAGTCACATCCCCCATGCTCTCGACCCTCTCACACGTGCACCTCTCAGACTGTAAGGCTTTAAAAGGGCCAAGGTGTTTTTTTGCGGGGGAGCTTGGTTATTGAGGCACCTATGCCGCCGCAGCTCCTGGCCAAATAAAATTCCCACTTCCTTCCCTGTTTGGTGTTTGAGAGGTTTGATTGCGGCCCTCCTGCTTCAGTATGAAACCGTATCATCCAGACTGCTGTTTATACCCAAATGTGGTTCAGAAATTCACTTTGTCTGAACTGTTGTCCAGATTTCTGCTGTAGGCACTTAACACGTCTTCCACGGACTGCTGCTGGGATAGAGTGCATGAATGGCCCCAATCCTTCATCCTCCCCATGCTTGCACCCTCTACAATGTGACTTTGCAGCTCCTGCCACTAAAAAGGAGTGACGTCTCCCTGCCCTTTGACTTTGGGTTTGGCCGTGTGACTCGCATTGGGCTATTAGATGTCACATGACTTATTCTTCACTTCCTGACTTTCCCCACCTGGTGTTCCTTTGTGCAAAATCATGCATTTTCCTAGAATGCATCACACACCTTTGCATCACATACCTTTGCATCACATATTTCACGTTAATAGTTCCACAATATTTTCTCATGCATCCCCATATCCACCAAACCCCAAGGACACCACACTCTTTCAGGACACTGCTTTCATTCTTCAGTCAACACATAGTCAAGAATCATCTTCTCCCAAAACCTCCTGCCCTCATCCCCCACATGCCCCGGTGTCCTTCAGGTCCAGCTTCTGTTGCTGCACTTCTTGTCTTGTTTTGTAATTTCTGCCTTCTTTTTTTATGAGTTCCTGAAGGGCAGGGACATATTATTCTCTATATTCCCATGGCCCAGCACAGTTCCTTGTGTGTAAGAGGTAAGCCAGCCAGTTTCAGCCCTTTTTCCTTTGGTTGTCACCTGCTTTATTCCAAAATAGGATGAGTCATGCTAAAAAAAAATGGAAAAACACAGGATAAAAATTAAGTAGATGAAAAACTGAGACAGGAAGGAAATAAAGGGATAAGAGATGATGAAATAAAAATTCAAGTTGGAGTCCCAACCTGCCAGAAAATCCTTCATAGTTATTATATTTAGGCCTTTAATTAAGCTTTAAGCTTCCAAGTAACCAAAGCAAAGGAGAAAAACAGGAATAGTTGTAATGTTCACAGTTTAGTTACTCCACAAAAGAAGATGTGTGTATGGCCAATAAGCATACTGAAAGAT